CCTCCTGTCATGATACAACTTATGCGACCTGTAGCATGTTGCTGGGAGAATTGCGGATGCGTGTGCCCTCTTCCATGATCGCGGCAACTCTTGCTGGGCCCAGACTGGCCCTGGCTTGCTAAGCTATCCAAAGGTATATCCGTCTTGAACAAGGGCTCCCGGAATGGACCCCCCCCCCCATTCGCAAGTAAATGGGTTGGCGCGTTCGGCATCTTGCCATGGCTCAAAAACCTGGCGAAAGGAGCTGAAAATCCTGACCAGCCTGCCTTCATGAATCAACAGCGCGCGCCAACATCTTCGAAAAAGCTTCTGAGTAACCCACAAACAGACTCCAACAAGCCATGTGAATACTGCAGCCAGTCCATCCCGCAATTGGGCCTTGCATTGCTGCTACATCAAACACGTCGCCCGCACGCTCCGGCCTCTTCCTCATCATGTAGCTGTACAGCTGCCCAAACGTCAAGCCTCTCCTGGCAACAAATTAAGTTTGGAACTGCTTGGGACGGCTCACTCCCTATACCCTGAAGTTGCATTGCATCAGGTGATCCATTTAGGGCAGGGTCAAGAGATGGCTCAATCATATTCAGCAGTGAACAAAAACTACGTTTGGGAACCCTAAAGGGGTGCTTGCAAATGGCTTCCAGGGCGCTACACACATCATTTTGGTGCAAGCTGACCCCTGTTTTAGAACCTGTTTGGGCTGAGACGTGGGCAAGACTGAATTCCGCCTGATCTTTGCACGAAGTCTTAGACAAGTTGACACGAACCACCTTATGAGCCACAAACACACAAAATCCTACTCATCGATAGCCTTCCCCAACGTGAGTTGCACGCGAAGACACGGTGGCCTTCCTACATAGGCGATCTTCTGACTACGTACTCTGTCGGGACAGCAGTCTGTCTGCTAATAGGATGGCTCATACATTGGTTCCAAAGGTACAACTAACCTTGGCCATCCGATTTGCTTCTTGCTTTTCACAGATCTTGCAACCAAGCCTGGACCCATTGAGCAATCCGTGAGAAGATCGAGCAAGTTGTAAACTGCCCAAGCTGTTGGAGGCAGGCAGACAGAGAGACAGCCAGGCAGACAAACAGCCAGGCAGGCAGGCAGACAAACAGACAGCAGGCAAGGCAGGGGCAGGCAGACAAACAAACAGAAACATCAGCAAAACAACATGACTAACTTCCAGATGGGTGTTTCTTAATTTCACCAGAGGATCCCTCTAAATTGTGGAATGGTGGGTGCGCATGTGAAGCTGGTTCCCACAGGGTTCCCGATTTGAGGACATGATCAGATGCAACCAAATGAAATATCGTCCAGGCCGCGAACCCATCATGGGTGTTCAACCAGTTGCCCAGTGACCGCAACCCTGTTTGGGCCTCAAGCATTGCGTGGGACCAAAGGACAAGGGATAAAGGGTACACACTAGGATGAAAGCAGGCGGCACGATTCCCTCTACGTAATTCTCAATCGAAGCAAGTACATGAAGTTCTTTGACTAACCCCCAGTGCCATCTACTGTCACTCAACCAAAAAAAAAAAAAAACCTCTGGGTGTTGGCCACCCGACTGCTAGCCAGTGTCATCCCGTCCAGACGTCTGGCACTTCCGTCACCACAAAGGCGGCCTTGCCCTGGCGCATGGCTTTGGAAAAAATGGCGCGACGAGGTGCGCTGAAAAAGGCGCCCGTGCTTTCTTGGTACCCTCCCACCAACTAACATGGAAGTGCAAAAAGGCCCTTTCCAAGGAGAAAGTAGTCTTTCGACAGAGGTCTGTGCACTTCCATGTTAGCTGGCGTTTTTGGGTACTTGATTTTTTGAAAGGAAGCCGCGCAAAAGAGCACGGGGAATCACTGATTGGAAAATACAGTTTCAGTGCGGCGCAAGGTAGGTGAAGCCTGCGCCAATTGATGTGCCCGCAGTCGCTAATTTTTGTTTTTTTGGAGAGCACTTTCCACTGTAATCTTCTGGAAGGCAACCGAGATTTCCCCATGCCAGCTATCCCAGCCAGCTAATTCCTGGAGATTATACAACATGGACCCCCTCCCCAAGAAAAATAATAACAAAAAGCAACACTGCTTTGTTGAGGAATCTTCTTTTTAGGCGGATCCCTTTTGGGTTCCACGTACGTGCAATTGTCCAACCGCTTGTGCAAGTGAATGGTCGATGTATCTGAGCCTCGCCACATCCCTTGCAACCGGAAAATGCACACATAAGGCAAATCAGCGCACATTAAATCAGCCCCGCCAACATGTCAGTCTGGGATAATGTATGGCAGTGGTAAAGCAGCCCCGAAGACACTCCACATATGAACGAACAAAGACAAAACTGATAAACAAGCTCGAAGGGCTTGCACTTGCTCGCGTAAGAATAACGGGGCCAACCCTTTGCCATGATTACAAGCTCCTGTGAGTTTTAGGTGTAAAGTCCGAGGAAATGGTGAGAAAATTGGCCGTTTCAGCCTTGTTCACGGGCTGATGACCATTCCAGTTGACCAAATTGCTCTTGACAGTGCAAGTCAATGTGAAATCTGTCTGACCAACAAAAGGCTTAAACCGCTGGACCTTGAAACAAGTTGAGCAGCCTAACCTGTGAGTGACAGCTCAAGAGTTAAGTTGCACGAACTCGTTGGACAACGACTTGCGCTCCGGTGACGTTCAACTGAGGCATCGGGAGATGCTGATGCAATTGCCAGAAGCGTGCAGGCTTCTGAAGAACTTGACATTCCTCCGACACAGTGGTCATGACAAAATTGATTGCACAACTTTGTCTCGGGCAACAGATCAAAGAGATTCAATGGTGGGTGGGCTTCCTCAAAACAGCTCGCTTGGTTCAGCTTGATTGGCATCCGGACGCCAGCTGCAATACCAAATACGACTAGGACTACACAAAGCATATGTAGAAGCTGGTGTATGGTGTCTCCTTTTCTTGGGTAAGCTACTTGAAGGAGCATTGTGCTTAGTAAGTTGGTAATAACCATGGTTGTAACCCACTTACCATGGTTATAAGTCTCCAAAGTGGAGACCAACACCAGAGTTACTAACCACTTACAAAGTAGCCGGCCACTTTAAGTAGGCCCCGAGTTGTCATGGCGTGCTTCCTCCTAGGGGCATCAGTCACGCTGAGCGCGCCATCTCGTTGAGCACAGCGGCCAGGCTCGGCTGGTACCTCTTTCGCGAGCGAAAAGGCTCAAGAACCCACTCAGGAGACTTATAACCATGGGAAGTGGGTTTTGATTAGGGTTATTACCAACTTACTAAGTACAATGCCCCTTTAAGTACTGAAAAACCGAAAGAAGTCGCATTGGATGATGCTCGTGCAACCTGTCTATTAGTGGCACCCAGAGACGAACTCCTACACCATTGCCTTCCAATTTATTGTTGGCTCTTCCGGTGTTTTTGATGCGGACATTGCGAACTCACACGCAGCAATTCACCCGTTGATGCCGACAGTCCACAATGTCCATCATTGAATGGTTGATGTCCGCTCGCTTCTCAAGCACGATCATGTACATACAGCACATCAATATATCTCAACGAATGACAAAGCATCTACAAATGCAGATAGCGCGTACGTATATACATGTTCACATCAGTTTCCGCATAGAAATGACGACGTGTGTATCAAACATACATGCGCTTGTGCGCCCATATGTGCGCGTACATGAGCATGTAAATATATAGGTATGTGTGTGTGTGTGTGCGAGTCTTTGTTGAAGGTACCTGTTCAGTTTATTTCAAGGGAAACCTTTAGGGGACCACCGAAGCCATTTTGGGCGTCTCCTTATTCTGACACATACTCAATGTGTACAGACATACGCCCCAGCATAGGGTCACATGACGTTCGCCATCAAGCAGGTCACCAAGTTGGAGCTGAACCTAGGGCCAACCCAGGTCTTCGCAAAAAACAAACACAAAACTCTAAGGGTTGCTTCCCCATTCTTTCCAGGGATCCTTCTTTCTGGAAAACCGCCAAACACCCTGGGAAAACAGCTGGTTTTTGAAAAGAACGATGGTTGAAAAGAAGCTGCACATGACAGGATGATGCACGCGGGGGTTCCTGGTCAACAAGCCGCATCTCATGCACTTCGCTGATCTTCTTCGCAACTTACAGTAAATCAGGTCGTCCAGATCTCCCGCGTGTGTCAAAACCGTTTTGGGATCCCATTTTGGTTGGTAGGTGAATTCACCACCCATTTTATAGTTTCTATTTTAGTGGTTGGATTGGGATGCTCATTTGGGGTACGGTATTTTAACCCGTGGCCATAAACCTACTCGTGTCTCGAATTATCCGTCTCCAACTCCTTCGGCTCTTACGGTGGAACGGCTTGGCATGACTGGAAGCCCGCCGGTACGAGCGATGAAGGCTGCAACTTCCCGTTGACATGCGAACCAAAAGACGCCAAATGGATCGAGGTTGTTGTTTTCCATCCACGCCAAATTCCTGGCAACCGGCACAGCTGATAAGGAAGGAGTGGATTGGGAGAGCTGTCACACAACGCACAAATACTGTGGATGGACGAAATCCTGCACCACTTGGAAACCATGGGAAACCCTTGTTTGTTGTTATTTACAGGGGAATCGAACCATTTCAGGGTTGCTCGGGTGGTGCAGGAATTCGTCCGTCCACAGTAGGTTACCACCTATGGGAACAGGGTGAACACAGCTACCCCGCTCCTTCAGCTGAGTCAACGCAAGAACTGGCCATCGTCCACCAGCAAAAGGGGCAAACCACTGCCAACACCCCACCTCGCCGACTGAGCTTTCTCTTTCCCCTTCCCCACTCATTAAAGCTGTACATCCCCTATTACATAACATGTCTTTAAGAAAAAACAAAACCACTCCTTTCAATGTTTCTTTGATAAGCATTTCTTCCTGGGTTATTGCACAAGCATTTCTTTACTAGAAAAACATCCTCTTTTATGTTCCCTTGGAAGAGAGCCAAGGTCTGATTCGAGGCATTCCCAAACCTACGCGCCATCGAAACCGTCCAAGAGAAGCGCAGCACGCCGCTGGCAAAGCGGTGCTGCAGCACGATCTGCTGCATCTCATCTGCCTCAAGGAACCGAAACCCCCGCGGGTCCCAAGCGCGACCCCACTGCTGTTTGGTCTTGGTTCCTGTAGACACCCCTGCAAAAAGTTGAACACTGTTTGGGGGTTTAGTGGAAAACAAACTTTATTTCCCAAAAAGATAAAGTCTAAAGACCCGACCCAATAGCAGTCAAGTCGTGATCGTACTTTTTGCAGGCACTGCTTGAAGGCGCCCCAGTTTGGTTACGCAACCACTGCTTCTTGCTTGCAGCAAGGCTCCTTGAAGCCCCTGGCTAGCAGTTTGCGTGCAGTGTCCCAAAGAATTGGCGGCATTGGCAACATCTTGTTCGCGTTTTCCAAATGCATGGCTGCCCTCGATGGAAAGCACTGGCACAGCCCAAGGCAAAACTGCAGCCATCCCGGCTTGCAACGTTGGCTCGTCCAAACCAGGTCAACGGATTCAGGCGAATCATGACGAGTGATGGTCCCAAGGTTCTTGAGGTAGCAAGAAGCTCTAAGCAAAAGTTGGCGCCTGCCTCGACATACTTGCTCTGGCCCCCGTCATCGTCATCATCTTCTCGAGTCTGGCCAAAAAAAGGCGACGAGTTCCAGAGCTATGCTGAAAGCAAACATATCTGTACGTGTCATGTGCCTATTCGATTGATTTGACTCTCTTTTGTTCACGGTCAACTCACAATGACTCGAGGACATGCGCGGCAAAGGCCCAACTTAACGCTGACTTGGGACATTCATGTTTCATCGGTTGGACATTTTGAGGGCACTCAGTTGCTTGCTTGAAAGATGCTTAGTCATTTGGCTGTGGCTCAAAATTAAACAGGAGGGGTTACGCGGGTTTTGGTCCATGTTTCCACTTACCAGGGTTCCATTTTGGCACCGGTTTTTTGAGCCACACCCATTTGGGTGCACTCGGTGCCCCTTCCGGGAGCTATGAACATTTCGGCAACAGAGCGTGGTTTTTTTCTGCCTCGAGGTTTTGCCTGTACCCAAGCAGTACGGCCGTGAGCATCGCGCTGCGCGCTGAAGACAAGAAATCCAACCACAATGTGCTCAGTAAGAAAGACATAACCCTACGCAATTCCAATCCCATGCCACCCAAGGAAGGAAGGACAGGTCAATTCTGGAACATAAAGCACAACTTTAACACAACTCATGTCAAATGTGGGAAGATGGACATGGTTTCAGCAATAAATATCCTCATTGATAGCAGCATCAACATTGCTCCAGTAACACGGTGCTCTGACCGCGAAGAGCATGACATGTCAATTAGAGCTCCAGGCTCACGGTGTTGTAACAAAAGAAGCCATGCCTGTTGCCCAATGTCCCAAACCTCCAGTGACCCATGGAAAAATATGAGGCGCCTTTGTTTGTTTGGTCAACTTTGAAGGAGAACCCGGCGCCAATGCAGCTCCGGGATCTATCAAGATGGTTTGACAAAGTAGGGCCCCCCTTTGTGGATGGCAAGGCGAAACCAAAAGGTGTTCAACCACTTGTCTGTGGCTCAAGATTCAAGAGCTAGGGCGCGGTTTTAGTCTTTGGTTCCATTTACCTTTTGGTGCCATTTTGGTACATTTATTTGAGCAGCCACCTGTGAGAAGAACCCACAAATCGAGGGCCGAGTGCCGAGTGCAAGCATCAGCCAGGCCTTCGACTCCAGCATCTCCAGCAGTCCCTGGTGCGAAATGAGTTCAGATGGGCTCAGTGCCCCGCCGGAAACAAGGAAGGCCAAGTGAACGTGTTATACATGTCTGCCCTTCCGGCCGTTCTGACGTTTTCTGTGTTCCAGAAGCAACAGAGCAAATGCTGCTCATGAGCGGCGTGGTCCATACAGTACGTGTTACACATTGTTACACTATTTGGACTTGGTTCTCTCCGCATTTAGGGAGATTTAAACTGATCCAGTCCAAGCGATATGCATAAAGGGAAGATGCGCATGGACGTATGTCTCACAAGTCCATTAATCGCACCCTTGTTGATAATAACGAGGTAAGGAATCGGCCCAGCACCAAGGAGTGTTTGAGCCTGGTGCCTGGTCCTGATTTTCCGTCCTGCTCATGTTGCTGGCATCGATGTTTGAATGTCCAGCATGCATGGTTGCATTGATCAAATAATGAAACCAAGTTGCCTAAATTGCATTGAATGACGTATTGTTTCCGTTGTAGCGCGTGCACAAGGGCAGAACCGAATTGGGCATACCTCTTCAAATGGCCGGGAACCCCGAAGAAAAACCACATGAGTCACAATCAAAACCCGGGTAGATGAAGGTTGGTAAGGGACGATCCCAGCCATAAATAGCTGTGGCCGCCTTCTTAATTCTTTACATGGTTCTGGGTAAACCATTTTAATAACGGGTTTTGATTATGACTCACATGCAACCTCGATGGATCCTGCGCACCTTGGCTTTCTTCGGCTCTGCGGTCTCGGTCATGAGCTCTGTGTTGTCCTGAGTGCAGGGCGACAGGCAAGTCGCCAAACGCATGTTGCCAAGCGCGGGGAAACAGCGAACTTGTACCCAGCGCAAACTCCCCTGCAACACATGAGTGAGAATCAAAACCCGGTATTAGAATGGTCTACCCAGAAACATGCAAACAATTACCCAGGCGGATATCCGCACCCATGGCTGGGGTTGTCCCGTGATACCCTCCAATTGCGACTCACATGCTGTTTGCTGCGCGTCCAGCGATCCCAGGTTGAATGCTGAGAAGCAAGAACTCCACGTGGCTCAGTCCACCCAGGGGGAAAAAACCACCCTTTTCGTTGGATGATTTTAAAGTGAAGCCCATCCGAAAGAAAGGAGAAAACAGGTGGCACTGGGCAACTGGATAGCCCAGAACAGAGTTAAACATCGGGGGGCGCGTTCTACGCCTCCAGGTGGATGTGCATGATCACCGGCGTAGAGACTTTTCCTGGCTTCGGCATGCCACGTGGTCTATCACAGATGGATCTTGAGTTTGTTGGTGTGTAATATATATATATGTACATATGAGATCCACAATGCATATGTACATGTACCATGTGCATATCTATGTGTATATATATATATGATGGTGTACATATATATATATATACATATGTCTGTACGCATATATATATATATGCATGTATGGCATCTGTACATTCACATACCGTGTCTCCCCGCTGCCCCCCCCCCTTTGGGACCTCTCAACCATCCCTAAACCGCTACGCAACCGCCACCCAGCACTCCCGCAACCTGAGCAATTCAACCCTCAACCAACCCCTAAACCACCCCAAAACCAACCCCAAACCAACCCTTCACCGACCCTAAACCCATCCTAAGGCAACCCTACACCACAACCCAACCACAGGACCAAAGGACCAAAGGACCACAGGGAGGGGGGGGGGATTCTGTTTGAACTATGACCATGGGTGGGGGGGAGAGGTCAGGGACGCTGCACAATATATTCATATATATATATATATATATTTAAGTATCATCCTACTTCAGCAAAAACGTTCAAGCAGGATACTGTATTATGGTCTGCGAGGTTAGGGTGAACAAAAACACAACGGAAAACACTGATAGCTCACCAGCCCTCTGTTAGGCTGCTCATGAAGCCAAATTTGTTGTCTGACAAGTTCAGCTGTTAACAGGCGCAGGACGCATGCAGACTTACATCTATACCAGTCTTGGTATGGTAGCAAAAATTCTGGTTTTTTGCAGCCCTGCAAGCAAAATGAACAAAACCAACAACAAATGCCAAGAACAGTCAAGAAATCCATATGGCGAGGGAAACAGTTGGTTTCAGACTCAAGGCCTTGCGAATTCGCTGCGCGGCAATGTTTAAAGGTGTGATGTATACCTCTAGCGACCAAACGAGCTGCTGTTGCTGCTGCTGCTGCAACTAACAACTGTAACTGACACCAAGCAACAACTCAAGACCAAAAACTCACCATACCATACTGGTTCATGTTACAAACAAAAACACATTGAACACATTGGCAAGAGGTGAGACACGCACACACACTCACACACGAAGCAGAGAGACAAATAGACAGACTGACGGACGGGCGAACAGAGAGGCGGACAAACACACAAATCAACTGCAAGCACACAAACAAACAAATAAATAAACAAACAAACAAACAAACAAACAAACAAACAAACAAGCAAGCAAGCAAGCAAATAACTCACAATATCAGCAAGCGAAAACGACGCCGTGCACTCCAGCTCCTTGATGAGCTCCAAACCCAGCTCTTCATCCACTGTAGGACAGCCTCCTTCCAGCATTGTGTCCAGCATCCGCCCCTCCCAGTCGGTCAGCACACAGGTAGCCCCTTCCTATCGCACGTTGTAGCCAAGCTGGATCAAGTGGCCAAGAGGGACGGTGGGCTGCACCTCCTCCTCAGCAAGCAAAGTTCGCATCCAAGCCACTTGCCGTTCCGCGAGCTGCGCCTCCACATCCCTTGCCTCCTCCCGTTCTTCTTGAGAAGAGCTCCCCCAAAGGCTGTGAGTAGCTCCCCCATCAAGCAACGCTCTCCTCGTTCCAAGTTGCACCCGATTGAGTGATGGTCGGAAGGCCCCCTCATACGCTTGAGGTCCCGCCGCTTCCTTCACCAGCGCGGCCATCGGCCCCCCGCCATCATTCCTTCTCTGTCGAGGATGCCGCCGGAGTCGTCGATGTAGTCTTGGCCTCCCCGTTCCCTTCAATCGCCCCTCCGCCGACTTCCACCTTCACAACAGCCTTGCCCTTCCCTTCTCCAATAGCGCTTCCTTTTCCTCCTCCCTCCACCGACATCCTTCAAAGGCTTGACCGGGCAATCCTTCTTTGTGTGGTTTGCCGCTCCGCTTCTCCACCCATTCCAGTCGTGAACACACTGGCAATCCGCACCCTTCTTGCAGCCCCGTCTGCGGGTGACACCCGCTCTAGCTTCAACCTGCCATGAACATTGCTTGGCTGAAGCGCCTCGTGATGACTCCTACGAACCAGAGCCCCCGCCAACAACGTAGCGTCTGAACAGGGTCGTGCTTCAACCCCGCAGGCAAGGCCATCAGACGGGGTCTGCTTGCAACGGCGTCACGTAAGCCTCCGAAGAGACCAGCAACACGTCCTCCCACCAGGCAGGCACCTGAGCTCATCGACAAGCCCTCGCTCGCCTTCCATCATCGGGTGATCAGCGTCAACCACCAGCGATCCGCAAGTCCACATTGCGAATGGTCTTTCCCGGCATCCAGCCACCCATCTTGCTGCTCCTTCTCCTGGTTTCCGCCACCCAAAGTCATTGCCGCGTGGTAGTAGAGCTCCTCCAAGATGGCTTCCAGTTGGCTGTTGGTTGTTGAACCCCACCTTGATGAGGTCCACCAAGGTCCACCCCAAAGTCCCACCCTCTCATCCCACAACGATCCTCCTGGTTGACCTCCTCCATAGGCTGATGACAAAGCTAGCGAACCACGGTGAGGCTGGCTTTCCGCACTCCCAGGCCACCCAGCTCTCCCATGATCTTGATGACCACCAACTGACCTGCTCCTCCACCAGCTTTTTCTCCGTGTCCCTCATCAGCCATCTCTCGTCCTCCTTGTCCGCGCTCGGCTTGTTGTCTCCCGGTGTTTCTTCAGACTCTTCATCTCTTGCCAAAGCGCCCCGTTCTGGGTCACCTGCCGGAAGGCTGCAAGCTCCTCTCTAGCTGCGCCCTCTGCTCCTCGAGGCCCCTAGGCCTCAAAGTCCGCAGCTGAGCCTCGCAAGCCCGTTCCGAGCAAAACGGGTTGCCAGCGCCACATCCTCCCGGCTCTGTCTCCACTCTGGCGAGCCCTTGAAGATGCCATGGCTGGCTCACCCGAAAAACGTTGGGCTCATAACCCTTAGAAAGGTCCTGCATCGCTCTTTTTCCTTGGGCACAAAAGGCTTCCATGATTCGAAATTCAATCCCAAATGAGTGTGGGGAAACAATCAACCCTCCCAAAAAGCCCCCTTTTTGAGCTTCTAAACCCTGGAGATCCAACTACCTCCAAAGGAATGATGTAAATAGGGGAGCTCCAAAATAGACGCGGATTCCTGTTGGTTGGCTTTTTAAACCCACCTCCAAATGTAGCCCACCCACCCAGAAAAAGAACATACACCCCCCCAAAAAAAAAACGTCTGGGCGCTCACCCAAATTCCGACCCGGCAACAGGCGCCTGCTTCGGCAACGAGGGCTTCTACGAGGCGTTGGGCAAACACGGCCTGACGTCCGATCGAAACGAAACCAACCCAAAAAGGGTCCTCTTAGAAAAATGAGACACGCGCTGGCACACAAACCAACACGCGGTGTTTGGGCTCTTTTGCCCTTGCAACCGTGACATCGCGCGTGTTGACACGGAAACCAAATAGAAGCAACCTGTTTGTATGTTCCCCGATTTTGAGGCAAAGCCAGACTCGGGGAATAAGAATAGATTTCGCTGTGTTTGAGGGTACCCTTGTTCAGGTTGATTTAAAGGAGAACCATTTAGGCTTTGGCATCCTCTTTGCCTTCAAACCTGCCATTGTTTCTTTTTTGTTCCCTGGTGTAAAGGGGGTGACTCAACCACCAAGGACTATGGACTGGAGTCAAATTCACTTGTTTCCCCAACAAAACACTAGAGTTTGGGGAGTGAGCCCCCATTTCCTAATGGTCTTGAGTGTGCTCCGTGTCATCCCCTTTGCTAAAGTGGATGACAAAACCGACTAGATCATTGCTCATATCTGGACCAAGCAGATGTTGATATACGATCTACCGCGAGCACATGGACAGCTTCGAAAGCTCTTGGCAACGCACTGCAAATGTCTGGCGCGGATGTCGAGAAAAAGTGCCAAGTAAGGGAAGAATGAATCGATCACATGGCTGTTGATATCTAAGGTCCTACTTACACACCCGAAATAAAAAAACATCAATATAAGGATGGCTGTTGGGGTATATACCCTGGATAGCTCCTGTATGACCCATGTGTAGCTACAAATTCTCGGGTAGGTCCATTTAATTTGACGGACCTTACAAATGGGGCTAGAATCAAATGAAACCCACGGCACCAGCACAAATGAATCTTGCTCCCCTTTGCCGGCAACGGACAAAGGGTCTTGGGTCGTTCCACACCTTACGGCTAGGCAAAACAACAAAGGGTCTTGGGCATAGGTGTCCTTTTAGGGGAAATTGATGGGTTTCCCTGGTAGATGATTAAACCACCAGGTAAACCTGGAATCGCCATCTATTTGTCCAGCAAAGCAACCAAAAGGACACCTATGGTCTTGGGACCTATCCACAGTCAGCCCCATGTGTCAAGACTTTGGCGGAGCTGTGTCGAACTTCTCATCCTGCGCGCTTGCCCTTGAGTTCAGCCACGGTCCCCGAGAAAACATAGGATGAGCGGAGGTCCGGACATGCGATAAAGAGCTCATGGACCATAGACACATGGCTTTGGCTCAAATTAAACAGCTTGGGATACGCAGGTTTGAGTCTTTTGGTTCCATTTGCCAGGGTGCCAGTTCGGTGCATCTTTTTGACCCACAGCCACATGTTGGGACCGAACCTCAGGCATTCGTCTGGTGAACTCGCAATGGGCCAAGAAGGCAATGGAGGCCCACCTTCAGCTTTGTCAGTTTCAGTACCTTCTCCACCGTGTTGGGCTACGAGGTACCCTTTGCTGCATAGGGGAAACCAAACGGACCGACATCCGTTTGGGTCCGAGTCAATATTTAGAATATAATATGCCCAAGTACTCTGGTGCAAGTCAGTTGTCCTCACCCATTCAATGGCGCTTCAGCGGTCTACCCTTTGTGAGTTACGCGTGAGACCAACTTGAATCGAGGGGTAAGAAGAAGCCTCCATGCTCCATGGGGTCGAGAAAAAGCAGCAGCACAACGATGCCTGTCTGTTGTTGTGGTCAGTTTTGCACACGAAAATTGGTCGGTGACTTGGGATCCAAGAAGGGTTAGCCCATTGGTTCGGTGCGTTGACCTCCAACAATGGCCTGCAAAAAGTGCCCGGGATCCGCTAGGACTTCCAGCCGGCATTTGGGCGTGGCTTTTTGTTGAGGGTACCCTTTCTCTTGTCTCAAAGGAAGACATGGAAAAAAAACACAACACAAACGAAAACATAGAAGAAGACACAACCAAAACCACCAGTTTGGAGGGTCCCCTAAAACAAGACACACCTGCCATGTTGCTTCCACCAGTCGCGGTTTTCCTCCGGACCTCGCCTTGGAATCCACCAAAGGCGCGTCCGAGCACTTCTGCACATCGCGCTGATAGATCACGATGGACTTGGCCTTGGGAAAGCTCCATGCGTCCCTTGTGGTTACAACTTGAAGGAATCCCAAACGGGTGGCCTTTTCGTCCTTTTCCGGACCCCCCTCCCCTCCCCACACAAATGTGGGTTTCCTCTTGGCTTCCCTTTACAACCGCCAAGCACAGGGTACCCTCAAAAAATGAAGCCACTATTATTATGTTTTGGATGCGGGAGGGGGGGGGTTCTCAAAAGTAATTGAACTGCGACTGTTGGGGATTCTCAAAATCCTTAAGCCATGTTTACGGTTTAAAGGATTGTCTTTGGCTTAAAATCAATTGATCCTGACCCAAAGTTGAAAGTCCGGAAACTCGGGGAAGTGAGTCAGAGATTTCACCCCATAACCAAAGAACCCAACAACACAGCTCAGCCTGTATATCCCCTGAAGCACTGCTACGGTTCTGGCTTAAATCACTTGGTGCCCTGACCCACTTGACCGTCAAAACCCCGATTACCCCCCAATGAACATCCGATTCAATCCAACCACTAAAATAGGTTCCAAAATGGGTGGTAAATTCACCTATCCCAAAATGGGATCCAAAACGGTTTTGAACCATGGCCACTTCTGCTTGCTTGAGGCAGCCCAGGGCTTGAAGGCGGACGATCTGAGTGCTCTGATCCGTGAGGTTGACCCACCGGCAAGCTCCGGCGTCAAGCTGCACTTCGAGGCATGATGTAAAACTAGGCTGCTTTTCTTCCCCCTTTGAGCACAAGGTCTAATAACTTGTTTCCAAGTTTGATTTCCAGAAGGAAACCATGTCCAAGGCCCTCTTTGCGATCAAAAGTGACACCCACCGAACTCCGAAACGTCCCACCAAACGAGTCAGCGACTTCCCGGCCTGCAGAAAGCCAGCCCGCTCCAAGGAGGTCGGGGAGAACGGCACCCTGGGACCCAAGCGACACCTCTCCCGGGGAATGACTCGGGTCCTGGGGTGTTGGGAAGGTTGCCACTAAACCCCAAAGGCTGAAGCCCTCAGGCTGGACCAAAGCATGTTCTTCTTTGGGATCAAGTCTCCCAAAGAATCCGCCAAGGGGGTGTGTGGGAAGTGGAACTCCTCCTTTCAATTCCTTTCAATTGGATAAGAACCAAGGGCTTGAGATTCCAAACCTCTCCAAACTGCATATTAGTCGAATTGGCCATGGCGCTGGTTTTGTCTGGATCCCGTTACGGATGTCAAACATGGGTGGCATGTTTTTTTGTTAAGGTTGGACCCCAACGAATGATGGTTTTCCGTATGGTTGCCCTTTACCACAAAAAAAATGGTATCCTCAAAAAGACACATCCACATATCAACCTTGACTTTGTGAAAACACTTGCAGTCGCGTACGCGACATTACATGTGCACCTACTAAATGGAATTAAACGGAATCACTAGGACCACTTGTCTACATCGTGTGAAGTTGAGGCCCCGAGGCCCCGCTGGGGTGCGTTAAGTCCAGCAAACCCAAAGGACCTCCAGTCATAGCCTGGGCATTTGGTTCCTGGTCTTTGCTGAGCCTTTTCGAGAGAACGCCTCGCATGCTTTTTGCAGCCAAATGCCCAAAATGAACATCACCAAAGAAACCAGAAAAAAAGAAGAAGCAACAAACACATGCCAAGAACAGTGAAGTACAACCTCTCACCTAGCGGTCCTAGCTCAACCTAGGAGTTTCTTTCCTCTCGAGTTGTAGCTTCTGGCCATCAAGGGGGACCCCATTGGGCTGACGCAACGGGCTTTCCCCCGCCCAAAAGGCTGCGTCTGAATCCCTGAACATATGGGCGTGGGTCCAAAATAGGCACCCAAAATGGCTGGCCCTGGTATTTTAAATGGGCAAAGACTAAAGCCTGCAGTCCAATTCCTGGTGGTTTGGTTTGACCTATACCCATATCACCACTCGCCGCTTTTTTTTTCTTCCTGGGCATCCGCACCCAAGCACCAGGAAGACCAAAGGCTCATGCATGACTCGGGCCCAATCCACAGGGACCTAAGCCAAAGGAGAGCCTGGCATATCTGTGGCTTGTCAGGGTTGGTTTAGGGTAGGGTTGGCTTAGGGTTGGTGTAGGCTTGGTTTGGGGTTGGGTTGGTTTTGGGTGTTTAGGGTTCATTTGGGCTTGGTTTAGGGTACCCTGCTCAGGTTTGGTTCAAAGGGCAAAAGACAATCACCCATGACTCAGATCCCAAAAAGCGACACGTCCGCTGTTGGACCATGGGTTTCGGCATTTCGCGTGTATCCGTTTGTATTCTAGTATATTTGGTTGATTCCTTGCGCATCTTTGAGTACTTGTTCGGAGCCTCTAACTTCAGCTTGAAGTTTCGGCATCTCCAATTCAGACCTCGAGACCTTCACTCTCCTCCAAGAATCGGCGCCATGGAGATCCCAAGATTCCCCTCTTGACTGAGAATAGAGCTACTGGTACCAGGGGCAACATGCTATGAATGTGATCGCGGCCACCCAGCCGGCTAAAAACCGACCGCGCGCTCTCAGTGCCGAACCCGCTTGGAGACAACGACCAAGGGCCGGCGCTTCTTTTGGCTCCTAACCCGGAGCCCCAAACATCGCTCGTTTTTTTGCTAGGTCGTCTGCAACGCTCCGATGTTGGGACCCGTGCTTCTCATGATGCGGCAACCATCAACCGACATAAATAGGGCTGTGCGCACACAGAGATGCCATGTGAGCAGCAAGGATTTCGCAACGCGTTGCAACGTCATGGATGTATGTTGTCCGCACATCCTTGTCATGCTCACAAACTGCTGTTGGGTTGTTCTCGGGACCTTTTGTAGCTCATTCTGGCCTTTAGCATGTGTGCCGCTGCACAAATAGCAGGCGCTCACATGGGCACGTGTCGAAGAAACTCCCAGGAAATCCAATGTATTCACCCAGGACTGCAAGACCAGCTATGGGAGAATCAAAGGGAACACGGATAAGTAATTGACTTGCAAGAGAAACAACCATATTTACCTTCATTCGCGATGACCACGCATGACATGGACCAAAGCTAAAAAATAATTGAAACATATGTTTGCAATGGACTCCCAACTCTGCTACCGGCTAGCGATTGGAGGGCTATTAACACAAAAGTCCAGGCGTGTATGGGGAGTCTGAGAAAGCCCAGGAGTTGGTTGGCACTTCCAGCCGTCCTCATCGAGCGGATGAAGGTCTTCAACGGCAGCATCCTCGCATCCGACTGGGGATCCCCGTCGACACTCAATGATTGCGGTGAAACTATCATTGTCAGAAGATGACGTGAAGAACACAGCTCATCTGCAAGATAGGACCAGACTCTCACGGTCTGCAGCTTTTGAAAGAACCATTTCAATTGCCAACATGATCTTCACAAGCCGAAAGTCCAGAAAAACTCGGGAGGTGCGGAATGCACATGAGCAGGTTGGTCACCCTTGTTCCACCCGAGGGCTTCTCACTGCGAGGTCGCCCGTCCTACCGGGCCGCAAGGGCTTCCGCTTGCCGGTGGCCAAGGTGTCCTCCTGCTCCGTGTCCTACGTCGGTGGGCCAACCAGATGCGAGTGGCGTGCCCAGTTTTGGTCGGCTTGAGGGATGGCTTGGGGTGTGTTTTCGATCTTGAGGGTTGGCTTGGGGTGGTGGGTGGGTGACAAGGCCACCTACACTCATTTGGCCATGGGCTTTTCAAAACCCCGGCTACCCAGTGAACATCCGATTCAATCCAACCACTAAAATAGGTTCTAAAATGTTCTAAAATGGGTGGTAAATTCACCTACCCCAAAATGGGATCCCAGTCGTTTTAACCCACAGCCATTTCTGACTGGCCCAGTTTTGATCTGCTTTAGGGTTGGCTTGGGGTGGTTTAGGGTTGGCTTGGGTGCCAAGGCCAACACCTACACTCACTATTTGGCTGTGGCTCAGAAAAGTGGTACCAAAATGGCACCAAAAGGTAAATGGAACCAAAGACTAACACCTGCGTAACCCTGGCTCCTTAATTTTGAGCCACACCCATTTGACAAATGTGCGGCTTTAAAGGGAAACCGGAAGGACAGCTCGGGAAGTTGGGACGGTCGTTTTCTTGGGGCCTCGGGGAGGTCGCTCTCCAAGCTGAGGAGGACGATGTGGTCGCCCCGCACCTCGGTTTTGTGAAAGACGAGCTGGTGGCTCGTCTTTGCTTTCTTCGCTTGTTGGTAGCCGTCTTCTTGGCAGGTTTTACGGGGAGACCAGAAAAGCAAAACCTTGGTTTCCATCTTGAAAGGTCCAAGATCCAAGCAAAGACACAACAACAACCAACCTACAAGTCTAATCATCTAATGACTCAAGTCCAAACCATCTACAGCAATGACAACTAATTGTGCATTAAAGGGTTTCCACAAGTCTGTGTGTTTTCCTTCGTGCCGATCTGGTCGGCTTGATGCGATATACAACGATATTACCCCTTGACTGTCCCGAACCCACAAGGGCCATTGCTGCAGCAATATCCCAAATGAGGGCATCGGGCTCCGTCCAGGGCCAGGGGCGGAGCCCGATGGCACTATGCCCAAGCTGATGGCTGGCCCGATTCAAAAAAAAAGCATTTGGGGCCCAAAGACAATGGGACTGCCTTGGATGAATGCTCTCTAGCTGAAGAGACTTCGGCTAAAGGGCGTTGCGTTCCCTCCTTATTCTGAATCCAGGATTCCGACTCGGGCCGTGGCCCAATCTGCCCACGTCCTTCTGTGATGCGCACTCCTTCTGTTTTCTTCCACTTGTCAGCCGGCATGGTCACGGCATATTGCACGAACCTTGGGCCGCAATGGGCAGATGCGGCCAGACTTGGCTCTGTGGCGAGGCCCTCTCTTGCGGCGCTCCAAGTTCAGATCTCCACCACCAAAGGGCTGTGCAGGAAGCCACCCATGTCATCATCGGCATTCAAGGCTGCTTTGACGCCTGAAAGCTGAATGACACATGGATGCTTGACCGCCTTCCCCCCCATTCCCGGCATCAGGTTTGGGTTGGGAACATTCCCATAAACCCTAGGGGTGCTTTGAACGAACGTCACCTGTGATGTGCTGGAGCTAGTAGAAACTTGCAATCAGCTACGGCTGCACTGCAGCTTGTGGGTGATAGCCTCCCACCAATTAACACGGGGTCCTGGACGACCATGTTCCTTTTAAAGGGACCGGGTCCCTGCCAGGTTCCATGTTGATGGTGGGAGGGCAACTCACTCCATACCTCCGGTACCTCATTCACCCCCCTCCCAAGTCTGGCTCCAGGGTTTTTTGCTGAGTCAAGCACAAGGAGCTCGTCTGGCGGCTCCTCTCAGCGGGCGCTTGGCAGCAACTAGAATCCTTGGCATGGGAGTTAACCACAACCATGTCATGGGCCAATTCCTAGGACTCTGTTGTCGCTTTGAGGATTCGATTGGCAATTATCACAGGGGCTACTTTTGGGAACCCAGACAAGAAGGAAACTTCGTCCAGCAACACTAGCTTTCTTCCCCGTGCCCAAAATCTCCAAAAACTGTCCACCACGCAGTGGTTGGGACAGGGGTTGCTGGATACTGAGTCCTTTCAAGTGGTTCCATGTTGAACCATAGGCGTCCAATGGCCCTGGTGAATGGGGCCTACGGTCCTTCTCCTTTCACCCCCTTTCGAGGCCGAAAACGCAACACCCACACAATGAAAGACTAATACCCCAAGCAATGTTTGCACACCGACCAACACGTCTCAAAGGTGTTGGTCCTTGTTTCCTCACCTTTCATGGGCCAAAATGGTGATTTGTTCAAAACCACCAAAAAGGGAAATATAGGGACCCCACCAAAAACCAAGAGGTCACGGTTGTCAATGTCTGCTCTGGGATTATGTTTCTACTCTAAACCAAAAGTAAAAAGGACACCTACTAGGTCCTCCACTAGAGAGGTTAGAATAAGGGTACCAACTTTTTTTGTAGTCTATTTTAGGGGACCCTGGCAACCAAAAAAGAAAAGGTGAGAACGGGCACCTAGCTGGGAGACCTAGCCTATGTGTTTAGTCAACTGCCCCAAAGGAAAGATCCGCTGAAACCCGTCACTTGGCTATGGGTCAAAATGAAACCAGGAATCGGACCGCAGATTTTCGTCCAGGTTTCCATTCACCGGGGCTTGCGCCATTTTGGGGTTACCCCACGTTTTGACAGCCACCGTCCTTGGCGTTGGCCCAGATCTTCTCCAGCGGCGCCACCGGGGCGCCCCACAGCATCTCGTCCTCGTTTCGGGGCTTCGGGGGCTTCCGTCTGAGGTTTGCTGAGCTACTCACATCCTTTGGCGAAAGGGCCCAAACTTTTGGTTTGCCGCTCAAATGGGCGTCGAAACAAGTGCTGGAACTCGGGAGGCGAATTTAGTAGGAAGCCAAAACAGATCTTGGGCACATGCCCGTTTGGGTTGGGGGTGACACCCTTTAAAAATGGGGTCATTACCCTAAATAATGGGGTCAAACAACTCAAGCAAGCTTGGCCCCAAAAGGTGATGTGTAGACCAAAGGTGAAATCCGAAAGGACCACTTTTCTGCCCGGAACATCCGTCTCCATCTTCCTGAGCCCAACTCTTGTGATCAGCTTGCTGCAATGATGTGAGCCAGTGAGCAAAAACCAGTGGCGGTTGGTCCTGTCATGCCGAATGAGTGCGTGTGCGCGTGTGTGCATGTGCGCCTTCAGGAAAAAAGGAAGGCAAGGGGCGATTTGGGTGCAGCAAGTTTCCCAACTGGAAGCCAACCACTCAAAGGAAGCCTTCAATTTGACGCGCATGCACAGCACACAAACACATATGATCAATCTTCAGTCACTAAGCTGAAGGTACCAGGGTCAAAACAGGTCAGTCGATACACGTGACATGAGATCACTCTAGGTCCAGTCCAGTTCTGGTTGTTTGGATTCTGCCAATCAAGTTCGTACAAGAGAACGATTTGTTCGCTTCCACGTCGGCGTGTTGAACAAAGATACTGAACAAACATAGCAGTTGCGCCATACACCGGAGTGCACGCCTCGCATGCCCAAAACCCAACAGCTAATTCCCTGGACACGTCAAATGTTTTGTCACCTTCCAATGCACCGATGAATTGTTGATGTGGCCAAGCAACGCAACTAGGGGTGCAGGGTCCCGATCAAACCTGGTTGAAAGTTGCACGAAGCTGGTCAACCACCTCACAGGCGCCAATAAAAAAGGTTGTTGGTCTCAGTTAGCTCCGCCGGTCACATGAGTTTGTTTCAGGAACTGACCGAACTGGGAATTTGGATTGGCACTGCTCCGCGGTTCCACTTCCATGCTCCATGGATGGGAACTTCCAACAAGTCCTCTCGCTGCACGATGGGGTCTGGCATCCGCTGGCGATACTGGGCCTGAGATTCGGCTGTGATGAAAAAGGCTCTAGATCGATAGCCCCCGCAGAACTCGTTATGACTGAACTTGTTTCGCACAGGTCTTCGTCTTGAAGGGCCAAATGCAAGACTGCGGGCCGAATGAATGACCGGCAAACTACCTCATTCATTTCAAGAGTGGTCAACTAAGCTTGTTCTTTGCCCCTGTCTGATCTTCCCAAACCAAAGCAAACATGGAACTGCAGCCAAAGTCTGACAACCATGGCGATAGAACCTAAAGAACCGCCATCCGATGAATCTTCTGAGGAGCCACACAAAATGGGGGTGCCTTCCGTTAATTCACAGAGGAGAAAAATCACCCATGGGTTGCCTGACCGGTTGCCCCGTTCTTCTTGTTTGTTTGTTTTTGTGCCAAGGTTTTTGTTGTTTTCTGGCAATGTGCAGCCAAAGATGTTCTTTCGGGGTGAAGGAAGGAAGAAAGGAAGGAAGGAAGGAAGGAAGGAAGGAGGGAGGGAGTGGAGGGAAGGAGGGAGGGAGGGAGGGAGGGGGAGGGAGTGAGGAAGAACAGCCCGTGAGTCTGTGCGGCCAAACGTTCGTGCGGTTTCCGCCGGCCTCCTCTGCCTTGTTGATGGAGGCCAGCCCCACTCTGATGCCTCGGGTGCCGTGCTCTCAAGCTAGGGCTGAGCTGAATAGATCCAATCGACCGCTCAACAACAAAGACACACACGACTTGTTCTTTTGGGCAGGTCAAACCGAGAAGGCCTGAAGTGGAGGTGTGAAGATCCAATAGAACTAGTTGCTAGTTCGGCAGCAAAAGAATGTCCGGAGGCTGACACGCAAGGTGTATTCTTGCGCTTTGCCATGGAATCATTGATGGTCGGGGTGCGGCTTGGGTTTGGTCTAGGGTGGAGCACAGGTCGCTGTGTGGAGTGACCTCTTCCGGGTGGAAGGGTTTAAGATTGGTCAGTTGTAGGTTTGATTCAGGCTCATTGGATTAAGGTTGGAATAGGATCGGTTTAGGGTTGGCATCGCGCTGCGGACGTGGATAAGCATTGCTTGATGCATTTTGATTTTACACTTTCCAGGAAGACAAAGAAAAGCCAACCAAGCCAAATCAAACATATCCGAAGTGTGCAAGGTCTTAACCAAGAAACCACACGTTGACGACATAGCTTTATGACTTAGTGTCCGGCTTTCATTCTCGCCGTAGAGGATGTCATCTGCTGCCTTGACAAATTAAGCAGCAAATGGGTCGCACGCAAGCCAACAGCGACCGCACAAGAGTCCTAGCTCTTCCCCCAATTGCAATGCTTGGCAAACTCTTGTCCATGAATTGCCTCCTCAACTTGTTTGGTGACAAAAAGGGGCGCTGTGTGTGTGGCGGACCTTGTGGAGCTTGTGCTTTTTGGTCTATTGGTCGCCCACTGGACTTCCAAGACTCGGCGCGGATTGCCACAAAGCGCGTGTTCGAGCCCTGAACCCGGAGGTGAGCTATCTTGGTTGACGTTGGAAGGGGAGCAAAAAATTATTTTTTAGCAGTTAAGTGGGGATTTCCCACTAAACCACAATAAGCAAACATGTAAAATGTTTCCCAACAACCATGCTATGGTCAGTGCAAACGGCCGACGCATCTTTGGGCCATCCAGCTGCGTTGGGATCATAGGGATGGCCACCAAAGCTGGCAGTTTGACCATTTATCCATGTCAGTGGGAGTGGTGAACATGGCGAGGTGGGAAAAACTCCGCGACATCAAAGAGATGCGGGGCTATATTTGGGTGTCTTTTTGTTAAGGGTAATCACATGGCTTTTGTGGAGATACATGGGAAAACCAAAAGGAAAACCACCCATAGACACACCCGTTTGCCAAGGCCACCCTGTGAAATCCGTCTGTGGCACACACAGAGACACAGAGACAAAGGAGCCCGGGCAATGCGCACATCCAGTTGACACTGCGATGGCTGCAAGCCACTGCTTTACAACCGAGTCATCCGATGGCCCCGGAAAGTAGAATCCTTTGCTTGTTCAATCCACGTCTTCAATCGACTTGGATTCCAGAAGGCGCCAGAAACTAACAAAGTGGGCTCCGTGCTTTCTAGGTCCTCCAGCAACTTTTTTCTGTAGTCTATTTTAGTAGGGGAACGCTCCCCCAAAAAAGAAACGGTACAAGGGCGCCTAGCTGGGGGACCTAGGTTTTCGGCGTGCACACGGAAGGTGGGTGGATCCCGAAAACGCGTTTTCGGCGTGTTTGCTGGACGCCTCGGCGTCCATGGCTTCCTTCTCGTCCAGGATCTGGCGCTTCGCCTGGGCAGTGCCGACCGAAGCCAATTTGGTCGGCAGCTGCATGTGGGTTTTTGTCGGTCTGTTCGAGTTGGTTTGTTCCAATTGTTTGGGGTGGCTTTAAACGGAAACCCACGAGAACAAGCATCTTAGGGTCCCCCCCGCCCCAAAAAAAAGGACAAACAAACGAACAAACACACCCATGCCCATGTAACATGTATAATCAATAATTAACATGATCTACCCAGAAACATGTGGCGGCACCCATCTGTGGTACTACCCTTCATCTACCCGAATCGGTTTTGAGCAAGTGGCTCATGCCTAAGGATGGTCACTTCTGTCCACCTGTAAGGCGCTAACCATCTGAGTCAGAGCAAATCATAACTCACTCCCCAAGCAAAGGCCCCCTTCATGGGGTTTTCGCTCGTACCAGAGAGCTCGCTTGAATTGGTGAAGAGCCAAGGAACTCTGTCTTTTCTGAGGTACCCTTATTGGCATAAAGCAAAACCCAAGGGACAACTGAAATCCAGGAAGCCACCCCCATTTTGGCACGCACACACACACACACACCACACACACACACACCCACCCACCCACGCACGCACGCACGCACGCTCGCACGCACACACGCACACACGCACACACGCAGACACATAGGCGGGTGCCTCCATGCGCCTCTCCAGCAAGGCCCTCTCAAAGGGGTCCTGCCATTCAGCTGAGTCTCTCCGAACTGCCGAAACGAAGCAGCCACCCCCGGTGAACATCCCAATCCAACCACTAAAATAGCTTCTAAAATGGGTGAATTCACCTACCAACCAAAATAGGATCCCATTGGTGTTGACCCACGGCCATGTTGAGGGATGTGAGATGGGTTCACCAATCATGATTAGACTTAGGCCCAGTTTTAGAATGTATATTTTATTGCTTGCTTCCCTTTGAGTCACTGGTAAAATGTAAAATGTATCCTAAGTCTACCCCACCCCTAAAGAAGCTCTGGAGCAACCACCTGCAAGCCGTCCGCTCTCGAGCAACTGAACTGTCTGCAAGCCACTACCTGCAAGCCACCAACTGCAAGCCGTTCAAAAGTCTGAAATCACCGAGGGATCCTGAATCCACTCAACCCACACCCCTGTGCGCTGAGGGGAGACATATCTCCGAGCCTTCAAAACTAGGTGCGGCATCTTTCTGGCGCGCCGAATTCGCATAAGCCCAGTGTGTCCTGCATCACTTCAGATGTGGAATCTTCCATGACGTCCTCCAGCTCATCGCCTAAACGCGAGGTGAAAATACGGGAACACGCGAGAACTGGGACACAATGAACATGGAACCCCAAACAAAGGTACTGAAAAAACGTTTCCTACAACTGATGGGCGTCTGGGTTGTGCCACAAAACCCAGCAATGCCTTGCCCTAACTTGATGCTGATCAATGCCTTTCCCTTGACATATCATTTGCCAAGTGTCGTCTGGAGTGTAGAGGGCTGCGGGTCGGAAGCGACCGCAGGAGACTGCCCGCTGACAGAGTGAGATGAAGGTTCCTTGTTGGGATTTCTCTGTCTCTTCTTTAGATTGAAAGCCTTACATCACTTGTTTAAGGTTGTTGGGTTCCCTGCGATAATCTACAGGAGAGTACGGATCATGTGTTCAAATGGGAGGCTCTCCTTGGTGAGAACATGAGGACAATGCTTGAAATTTGGCAAGTAGATGGTGTTTCGGCAAGCCTTCCCATGCCTTTCCCCGCTTTAACCCAAATTGAAATCAATGAAATGAGTAAACATCAAAACCTCATGCTGTGCTCGTTCGTATATATTTTTTGCGCAGTGTTTTGACTCTAGGCATTTGGTTCCACTCAAACTAAACAGTGCTTGGCAAGTGCATCCACTTTGGACCACACGAGGAGATACCAGTAGGAATCCGGCGAGTGTCGAAGTAGTCATCCTCCATCTCGTCTAAGTAGGCCTGCGAGTGGCAACAGTAAACCGGGTCGGTAAGACTGGATTCGGCACCTCAGGTACATATTTGGTCCACGCAGGACAACACCGGACTCCTTTTCCAGGACCTTTCCTTGTCAATTGGCACGCACCCACAACCATACTTTGGATGTGGCACTTCAGCTACAAATGGACTACTTACTTACGGTCTATCCTGGTGGGTTGGTCAAAATCTTAGATTCCGCGTAACCCTGACGTCTGGATCCCGAGCTGAAGTCGATGAACCAATTAAACAAGCCCCAGTCGATGAGTCAGGCAACATTGTTTCTGAACTGCTCAAGGCAAAGTCATCAAGTTACAAGTCCCCCCCCCCCCTCTAAACAGTCAACCCCAGCACGCAAACGGCACAGCCCGCGCGCGCCTCAACCTGAACCCGGCTGAGCTTCCCTCGATGCACCAAGCCTGGCTCAGGCATGTGTGCGATCAAGCTAGTTACTCTGATTCGGTCGGCTTGAGCAAACCTCCGACTCGGCCTGCAACTGGTGCAAAGTGTACATGCCCATGCAAAAGGTGCGAGGTACCCGGTGCGATCTGAGAAGTGTCGGGTTTGAGCGAATGAAACCGGTCTCTCCATCACCGGCCTAAGGCGGCCCGGCGCTTCGCCGCAACTGCGAGCTTCTCTTGAAGGTAGGCCTCCCAATGAAGCGAGCCAGTGGGCCGTAAGTCACAGACTCCAACGACTTTGCCAGCGCCTTTTCTTCCCTTCCAATGGATTCTGCAGGAAAAATCAGCGCCTTTTTTCTTTTCCGATCAGCGCCCTTTTTCCCTTCCAATCATTCTTTCAACACCCTCCTTTTTTCTTCTAAATACTCCAAGGATTCTGACAGGAGGGTGTTGGCATGATTGGAGGATACATTAAATAATGGTTTAGGGGATGTGAGTCAAAACGCAGGAGCATCGGAAAGGTGACCTTCTCTCCGGAAAGCTTGACATCAGCTCAGTCAGTTGAAGTGATGTAGCTGGCTGATGGACGTTGCTACAGCAGAAAGCCCCAGTGCACATGGACAGCCGAGAAGCCTTTCATTGGTGAAAGCAGCCAACGAGGCGTCCAACGAGGTCTGCCTTCTGCTGAGTTATAGCCGAAGTCCACCCAGAGACTGTATCCCCCTCGCCCTGGTTGGCTTCCGGCAAGCTCCAAACATATGGCCCTCTGGAGTTCTATTGGACACATTCCGAAAAATCCGGCAGATTGGCACTTTTATGGCGAGTTGGAGTTCTGAAAGCTTTCCATGTACCGAGCTTCCATCAAAATCCATGCTGCTTGCCGAAAAGGCAAAGAGCAAAAACGACATTTGCTATGGACAAAGTGTCAGACCAAAGCTCGGAGAAGGGCTCTTCGTCGTTGATCGCTTGTTGCATGGTGCCGGAGGCCTTGCTTCTTGGGAACCAATCACCTGGTTGGCATAGTGTAATACATGCGCCAGGCGACGCAACACATATTGTTCGCAGGTCAAAACCTGGCCAGCCTCCGGTTGAAATGGCAACTTGCCTGGAAGCCAAGTATATCTGTGACAAATGTGGCGGTCCAAAATGAGGGGTAACCCCAAAATGGATTGCCCTCTTATATTCAACCATCCTTCCCCTATGGTCCAGGTCCCCTGGTTTAATTGTTTGAGCCATACTCACATACATTTGCCTGAGATAACGTCCACATCTCAGTTGTCACTCATTGATGCTGTCAGTCCTGCTTGTCGCTTTCTTCGGTGAAGTGGTCACGGACCTCACAGCAAACGTATCTGCACAACTCAGGCCCCGAACAAACCTGGGCTGTCCGCTGTCCGATCCCCTGCGAAACGTTTATCACTTCTAGCAGGTGAAACTCAGAACCCAAACACTAAACCAACTAAAAGCCTACAAAGCTAAGCGGATAGCTGGGAACCAACAGGAAACAGGCCTGACAATCACAAACACCCATTCAAACATGTTTCGAGGCCTCTCTTCTCCAATGCCCATGCTTGATTGCCTGCCATTTTCTACAGGGGGCCTCAAAATGTGAAAGGGGCGGGATTTGCAGAGATCCTGCAAGCTTTGGCTATCAAGACTTAAACTAGATGAAACGTGGATCTAACATATGGCACTCATCCAAATTCAGTCGTGAGCCCCCCTGCTGGGGAAAAAAACTCATCTCCACCTGTATGACATGGCCTGAAGGTTCATATTGTCATGTCTTGTGTTTCATGCGGACGCAACAAATCTCGAGCACATCCTCTGAGGCGAGTTTTGGGAGGTTTCCGGCCAGCTTTGAATGGGCGTATTCTGCCGAGGATACTCCTCGGGCTTGTCGTTCCGGTGGGCAAATCGTTTCAAAAGGAGTCGGGGTCAACATGAGCCCAGGTAATAAACGAGATAGGGAAGTGAATGGAGGGGCCGACATTGACTAGTCGTCCACTATTGGGCTTTACAGGTGGCTCCTCAAGTCGCGCCGCAAAATGGCCAAAGCAACCAACATTCACGCTACGCTGGAAAAACAAACAAACAAACAAACATACAACAATTGGGGTCATAAAATATGCAAAAGAGTTATACTCCTTCTGAGCAACAATAAGTCAACACTTTGTTGGTACCGTTTCCCCTCATCTTTCACAGCCAAGACCCCGACATCCACAACTATATACATATATATATATACATATTGTACAAATACATATAGCTGCATATCTATCTATCTGGCTATCTCGATATCTACATATATTTGTGTCTGTATAATATATATATATATATATATATATATTATGTATATCCATATATACATATAGTGGACAAACTCAGCGCCTGACCCAGCCCTCCGTGTCCTTGGCGGCTTTCAACGTCGACAGCCGCGGGTTGGCCTCCGTCGATATTTCGCGATATGCCGGGTCGAGGGGCACACCGAGTTTCGCCACGTCTAAGAGCATCTAAGCCCTAGGGTGCAACCCCCAGTAAAAGACAGGTTGACACAGCTTGGATGACGATCCTTCGGTAAACACCGGGGTTGACCCAATTTGGATGACCATTTGTTTCAGGCAAACACTGCTGGTGATATGACCCCCCTTGTTTGAATGGCGGTTTGAACCCCAGGGGAGCATTCACTCGTGTCATGCGTGGCGAAAAGTCGGGGTCCGGCTTGGAAGAAGACCCCGCGGGCCAAAAGGAAGGCTTGATTAACTTTTGGGGCCACGAAAAATTGACCAACAAGCTAGGGGTGGATTCCTTTTCCATCCTTTGGAAATGGCATGTCCCCAAATTTTTGTGCGCCCCTCTGTTGACAACCTTCACAAAAAACATGGTGTGGGGTGTAGATGGTTATAGCTGCCGTGGTTACCGCGGAAATGGGCTGGAATAAGAAGGGTTCACGCGCCACTGAAAACATTGCCAAGTCATGGAGGTGGACATTTCGGGCCTTCCCCCAAAGCAAGGAACGATCGCCCACTTCCATGATGTCGGGAGTTTGCATGACCACTGATCTTGATCCACTTCCGTGATTGTTGGAAGGAGGGTGAAGGTCCATTCGTTCCAGGGATCAGTTTGTCAACTTCCGAAAAGAGCCGAAACTGCCAAGAAGCAGCTGATGGTTGATGGGGAATCCACCAAAAAGCATGCTTGCGGCTTCCCGAGCACGGCTTCTAAAGCGGGACTCGGTTCCTTTCATCAGCCATGGCCGTGGAAGATTGGTCTTAAGTCTTAGGCCTCTCGGTGAAAGCAACACATCGTCTCCTTTAAAGTGAGAAAGTAGTTTGATCAGGACGGGAGTCAACCACTTTGGTATCAGATTGGACCCACGCCCCACAGCCACATTTGAAGATCTGTTCAAGGGTAACAATGCGCTCACTTCTCCAAAGCGAATCAACCTGTTCTTCACGGTTCTTGGCATGTTTTTCGGTTTTTTAGTTGTTTGGTCCTGTTCATGTTTACTGGGGATCTGCAAAAAACAGTCAGTTCTTAGCTACCATACCAAGAGTAGAGATGAATTAACTTCTTGGTTTCCTCTTGTTTCTAGGGGTAGCTTCCATTTCCATTCTGAACCCAGGGATCCGTTGCTTTTTTCAGGAAACCAAAGCTGGCATAGCAGCCAAGCACGGCAAACGGCAGCCCCTGAAACTGTTGTTTATTGGCCGAAGGGGCCAATGACACCACGCAAGTTGCGTCCTCCTAAGCTGAGCAAAGTTGCCAAACGTCCGCAAAGTGGTTTTGAGAAAATGAAGCTAGCCTTCTCATTGATTCTTCAGCTTCAACGGAGCCACAAAAGGGCCATCTTACGTCTTTACAACCTTTGGTATGGTGGCAACAAGCTTTGCTTCTTGCAGCCTACCAAAAAACAAATCGACAGAACCAACAAAAAATATAAGCACTTGATCCACCAACAGCGCAGATTGCCGCATGACCATAGGTGTCCTTTTGGGAAAATACATGGCCCTAGTAGATGATTGAACCAGCGGGTAAACCAGGAATCGACGCCTATGCATCCATGACAGGTACCCAAAGCCGCTCCTCCCTGGTCCCGCCCGACCTGCGTTTGGGTGCTCCCGGTGGCCCATGCTTCCGGAGACCTGCGCGGAGTGAAACGGCGAGTGGGGAAGGGCATCCCCTCCAGGCATCCAAGGGTGTCCCTATTGCCCAAAGGAAGCTCCACAAAAGCAGGGAGGATCCTGTGGGAGGGTACCTTAGGGACCCTCTGGCATGCTGGTCGGAGTGACGGTGCCCCCTTTCTTAAGGTTGTTTAAGGGGGAACACCAACCATTTTCCGGGAGTCCCCATAGAAAAGGACAGACCCACATGGCTCAAGAAGTGCTGCCCTCTGTTCGTGGCTTCCTGGTCTGTTTTCTCGCATTGCAAAACTCGGCCCCTTGCAGGCCCCAGAAAGAGCGCGAACACCAACACTGTCCAAGTTTGGAAAGCCACAAACGAAGCTGTGGAAAGACTAATTACTTTGCGTTTGGAGAAGCTTTGTGCATTTTTATGTTTTTATGGTTGTTTAAGGAGGAAAACCGCCACTTCGAGAGTCCCCTCGAGAAGAACAAACCCAAATGGCTCCGAGGTGTGTCCTTGCATTGCAAGACTCCGCTTCATGCATGGTTCAGGTCTTCAAAAAACCTGGACATATCCGGTGCCCCTATGGTGATCTGGCCATGTGTTGAGGGGACTCCGTCATGTCCGTGTCGAATCAATATGGGGTCCCCTGTTTCCACACCCTGCAAAATCAAAATTGGAACCTGGAGAGGGACCCTTAACAAAAACATGGGATCCATGTTACTCTGCAAAGAACCCATCTACACTGACAATTGTACTGTTCTAACCCGGATCAAGGAACTTCTACGGGACCAGCATGGGGTTTCGCTCGTTAAACCCCCATATCGGTGAGCACGGGACTCGCCTAGACAATTCGTAACCCTTGTTCATCCTTCTCAACTTACATCACAAGCTCACAAGCCCCACCCCCCCAACCAAACTAAGTACAAAGGCAATCCAACTAGGTCCTCCAGTAGAGGTTAGAGTAAGGGTAACCTTTCTCTCTGCAGTCTATTTAGTATGAGAACCCTCCCCCAAAAAGGCAAAAGGGCACCGCTGGGGGACCTAGCCACAAGACAAGTTGGCCCCACTCTTTCCCGCTCAGCTCCCACGCCAGCGGATGGCTCTGCCGGGCAAAGCCATGTTGATGTCCTGCAGGTCATGCCAGCACCAGGGTCCCAACCCCCCAACAACCTGTTTTCAACCATGTCCAAAATTCCAAGTACTGTCCGAAACACAGTGGCTGGCGGGGATAAGGGCCCCAGAAATGGCCCATTCTGTCTTGGAGGAACGTGTTCCCTAATCCATTTGGGATTTGTGTGTTTGAGCGTCTCTCTCAAACCATGCCCACATCGACGCCTAAACTCAAGAACCGGGAAGGACCCTTCAATGCCAGGACTACCGACATAAAGCCAGGCGATGACAAAAGGGGAGGCCTAGCGGCCCCTGTTCCAACTTTTGAAATGAATGGCAAGCCCTCTGCAAGTTGGCTCTTCAACAAAAGCATGCTCTGCAAAAGTCTGCTCTGCAGGCACCATGGAAATCACTGAGAGTGGTGTGTGCATGCGTTGGGGTATGTAACGAGGGGCATGCAACCAGCCAAGCGGTTTCTTCATCTGAGGTGTGTAACGAGGGTGTGTAACGAGGGGTGTGTAACGAGCCAGCGGGTCTTATCTGTAACGAGGTCTGTAAGGAATGTCCACCGCGGCTCTGCTACAGATTCCTCAAACAAAAAAACGGCCATATATCTGCACTTGTATTCTCGATCCCGCACCAATCAACCTGGCGGGTTAATAGAGTGGTGATTCCTCGAAAAGTGAGAGATCCCCTTTTGACAAGCTAGTCAAGCAGAAGCTTGTCAATCCTGATGGGAGCTCCCATTCCCCGTATGGGTGTCTATCTCCCCAAAATGGTGGCTTTCCTGGTTTCCCTTTAAAACCGAAAACGGGGTACCCTCAAATCAGACACACACGCACACACACACACATAAGTCATATTACATCCACGTCAACCCCACAAACGGCTCCTCGCGCTGCCGGGCCATGACAATGCCCTCGCCAGAAGCGAAACTGTCAGTCCGATGGTTTGATTTCTGGAAGGTAGGCTAGGTCCTCCAGTAGAGAGGTTAGAGTAAGTTGGTACCCGATTTTTTCTGTCTATTTTAGTAGAAAAACCCTCCCAACCCAAAAAAAGGTTTGAAAGGGCATTTCTACCAGGGGTTCCCCGATCCGAACCCTGCAGGATCAAGCCTAGAGGTTTTCTGAGGGCCAACACCTCCAAGGTGTCGTGAACGCATTGGTCTGTGGGTGTATCTTTTGCGATCATTTCGATACGAAAACAGGGATGGCATCCCCTTGACTTCCGACATTCAACCAAACCTAAAGCAGCTGGCATCGCTTCGTTTCCTAAAGCTGGTCGGTCAGACGCGAAGATGACCGTCAGGTGTCCGGAGTGTCAGTGATGTCAATCCACTGATACCTCTAAATCGCAGCCGCTAGAGACAAGCGCATATCGAAAGGTTCACGTGCACAAGCAATGCGTGCAACGAGTCAATACTCAATCAGAAAAACACGTCCGGATATGGAGGACGTGTATGCTTGCTTACAAATGGTTTTTCTTTCGGATGCTACATGATTGTCCTGTGCAAGCGGTCGGAATCTGCTTCTCTTCCAACCCGTCGAGGTCCGGGCTTAGATTCACGACACGAGTCGATCGCGCACAGAGCAGCGAGCGCTCCGCACCTTGACATCGCGATCCTGTTGCAAGCCCACGCGGTAGTACTTGTTGGGAAACAGCACCTCGGCATGCGATAGATGAGTCACAATCAAAACCCGGGATCAAACTGGTTTACCCAGAGCCATGTAAAGAATTTAGCAGGCGGCCGCAGCTATTTCTGGCTGGGATCGTCCCTGATTAACCTTCATCTACCCGGGTTTTGATTGTGACTCAGACGTACCCGCGGCATGAGCTGCAATGACCTGCTATTACGACAACTTCCCGCACAGCGTAGCTTGGCACGTCAGACATAACATGATATAACAGAAGCCACAACACCCATGCTTGCCCGTTTTGTTCGCATAGCTGATTCCTGATTGTAAGTCAGCCACGTACTCGGTGATGTCGGATGGGTACAAGGCTTCCTCGCTTCAGAGAGGCCGGAAACAAAAAAAGCAGCTTAACACCTGTGAGTCTACCCAAAAGTGGTCTACCCAAAAGTGGTCTACCCAAAAGTGGTCTACCCAAAAGTGGTCTACCCAAAAGTGGTCTACCCAAAAGTGGTCTACCCAAAAGTGGTCTACCCAAAAGTGGTCTACCCAAAAGTGGTCTAGTAAACTCAAAGGAGAGGGAAACACAGTTTTGTCAACAACGGGGGAACCCGGGACCTTAAAAGGAACGAACCCCTCCGTGACTGCGACCTCTCCCTTAACCTTGGGGCTAGCGCGGTGCAACGCGCTGTTTTCAGCACTTGAGCCAAAGCAGTGATTGGATCATGCTTTGGCAACCACTTGAATGTACAACATGCAACTGACTACATGAGAACCTACCTCATGTACCTCTGGGCCATAAATGTCATCGTGATAATTGACTCCCCCCTCATTGACGGCACTGAGGGAGTGTCTTGGGCGCATTACCACGCCAACTTGAAGTCAAGTTTACATCACAACGACTGACACAAGTTATTCAAGCATCACCCAGGCACTTTGCACACTTTTGGAAATTTTGCGGACATGCTGCAGCGCACTAGGCAGCTGCTTTAGCGGCTCTACTTTCACGAACGTCTTCAAGCTTCTCTGGAAGGTCAACACGAATGCCGAGCAACCGGATGGCATGGTCCCACTTGTTGGGTGGAAGTGCTTTCGTGAAGATGTCCGCTGACTGCATGTCGGTTTGGACGTATTCTATCGAGATGTGTTCGCTTTCAAGCTGCTCTGCGATGCACGCGAGGTTCACCTTGTGTGTTCGCTGGACACAGCGTAGCTTGGATGAGAAACCTTTCCTTGCTACGAGGATAGTCGCCTGATTGTCCTCGTGGATCTTGAGATGGAATGGTCGGTCCAAGATCAGCTCCCACAAGCTAAGCGCAGGGAGCGCCTCCTGATAAAGGGAGTATGCGAGAGATACAATCTCCGCCTCGGTCGTTGACCGGGAGACCGATGTCTGCCTTTTGGATACCCACGCAAGCGGAAAATGCGTGTGCGGACCACTCAAAATCAAGAATCCTCCGGACGTGGATTTTGCATCTCGCTCTCCGGCGAAATCGGCGTCCACATAAAGGGACAGATGCAAATCCTCAGTCGAATCTTGGACTGTGCCTACTAGCGTGCTGTTGACCGTGCTGTTTATGTAGCAAACAAGCCTATGTAGCTGCTTATCGCAGTTTCTAGACCATTTTTGAACAAATGAGGCAAGGTCGCCAATGGGCTTGACCAGGTCTGGGCGTGCCAAACGGCCGAGCCACAAGGCTTTCATCAACACGCGGCAAGCAGCGAAGCTGAGCTCACCCTCCAAGGCGTCATCTGCAGGATCGAGGGATCCAGCGGGACAGAATGGAGTGGTGGCATCGCGCAGCTTTTCACTTTTCAGCTGTGCAACCTCAAGATATAATGCTACCGTTTGACGGGCATAATCCCGCATGTCGAACGCCATGCCCCCTTTCAATCTGCCCATTGCGGCATTAAGATCGGGTTCAGTTGGGTCCTTTGGAGCATCTATCAAAAGGTGATTCCTGCCTAGCACCCGGTATATGTCTTCTGGGGGTTCTATATCAACCAGTCTTGTTAACTTTTCCCAGAAGTCTTTATGAAGGTGGCTGGGGCCGGCCAACGTCAAGTCGTCGACGTATGTCGAGAGAAGTAACCCGGACTCCTTGAACCAGAAGTTTCCAGGAAACTCTGCGACCTCACGCCCTCCAAGTTCACTAATGAAACCTTTGAGGTGTGCCTCCCAGAGTCCGCCAGCGTCAGGATGCCCATAAAGAGCTTTAACGAGCAAAACCACAGGTTTCACGAAACGCTCGCGCCACCACCTTGGCCGGAGCTCAGGCGGGAGTGTGATCCAAGTTTGGTACTTGGACTTCAGCAGTGCTTGCACATAAGCCTTTATAGCGTCCGCTGTTGTGGTGGAATTCCCTGGCAGGGATCCATAAGCGAGACAGTTATTAAGACCTTGTACGCTCGTGGGATTTGCTCCCAACTCTTGGTAGACAGCTGCTGCGCCATGTTCGTCTTTCGCACAGTCTCCGCGATACACAATCCTACCTTTCATCTTCTGAAGGTGTTTCGCGAGTTCGGCGAACTTGACGGATGCTAGCGACATCAACTGCCCGAAATGGACTTTTATACTGGATCGTCGCGCCTCAGCAGCGACTTGATCATACTCTCGGACTGAATTTAGATCCCAAGCACCGGCTTTCTCCAGGCCTGTGGCTTCAAGTCGAACGGCTTCAAGAGCTTCCGGGGAAGCCAACATTTCGGCACGTGACAAGAGTCTGGTCACCATTGCGGTGATCTCAGGATCCTTCTTCTCTTTGACTTGTCCTAGGGAATGTGCGATGAGATTTTCAACATCAAGAACTTGCTCAAGGATGTTGTGACACTTTTCATCGGACTCAACAGCAACACCTATATCTTCCAAACCAGAGAGAGGGGATATGTGCTTCAACTGCTGTTCACGTTCCCGGTGATCGAGAGGCAATGGCACTTGGACAGGCATCGCAGGCACAACGGGTTGAACTGTTGGATACAGCGCACGGGCAACTGTGAGACACATGCCTTCGGGGTAGAAAGCGGTCTTTGCGGTCTTGTTACCTGCTGCAAGCGAATGTTTATACCCTTTTTCGTGCGGACACTTGAATGCACCTAGTGCGGATGCGAGTGTGCTATTGCTGGTCATGACTTTCCATGGCTTCTTGATGGGATAGCCATTGCTGTCCTTCAGGCCTAGGGCGCAACCATGGAAGGTCGCTGGGGTGAAGACGTGTGCATATTCTCTAAAGAATGCGGAAACATCATCCCTAGCCCAGCTGTCGCAATCCCTTGGCCACTCAAACGAAACACTACCCCCCTGATGGAGGACAGTCTCTGCGTGACGTCTGAATCTGGAGAACAACTCTCTCGACTCTCTAACTTTTTGCTTCAGTTTCTTTTTGAACTGGCTTCCTAACTTGGCCTTATTAAGGCGTTGCCATGCTGAACCTGATGTACAGGGAATTGCGGCCCAGAGATTGGGTTTATCACAACCTTCAATCTGCGACTGCAACTGGATTTCTCCTTCATCTGTGCTGAGGTCGATAAACTCTTTAGCCAGCCTAACATGAGGTATGCCAAGACCTTCAAACACGCGACCCATATTGGACTCTGGTGAACATGCGTATTCGAACATCACAGGCAACTTGTCAATACGCGCCTGTTTCTTGCGGGCACGATGATTTCCAACCTCAAACTGCTTGCGCTGTGGAGCTTCAACCTCTGCGCTGCATGGCATGCCGAAAATTGGCAATGTGTTCGGACGACCGTTCTTTGATGCATCGGTGAGAGGTGTCGGCGGTACGGAGTCTAACATCACGGCTGCACCTGTGGTGATAACACAATCGGACTGAATGGGTTTTAACTTGAACACTGTGAACCCGGTCCATGCATCTCCAAGTGAGCGATTGGGTCGGCTACCAAACCAACCATCATGGATGTTGTCTGCTTTGCCCCCCTGAAACACGGCACGAGTGGTGCGAGCTGCAGTAAATCTTTCTGGGGAAACGGGGCAATCCTCGACCTCTTTTGGGGTAAAAAGATTCTGCCTTGGCATGATATGGTATCGAACCAAACAGTTGACATTTTCTTTGAACACCCAAAAATCTTCACCTTGCGATGTAGCGGCTGTCGCTGGCGCGGTATCGAAAAATGAGCCACCGGGTCTTGAGGGAGCGGGCTCCCCAGCTTCGGCTGCATCAAATTCATGCGCAACATCTTCTGCACTAACTGCGGGCTTAGGATCCTCTCCATGCTCGGATGCGTGGATTGCTCTAGCTAGCTCCTCATCCCCTTCAGTATGAACAATGGGAATGGGTTCCTTAGATTCAGTTTTGGCAGCGCTTTTTGCAGCTGCTTCAGCTCGATCTGCAGAAACAAGTTCGGAGAACCTCTTCTTGCATTCGGCACTGTGAATCTTGGAATGACCGGTGCATGCACGGCAACCTGGCGTTTCCTTGAACTTGATGATCCTCTCAACAGTTATGTACACGGATTTTGACTTGACAGCGGATGGGGTCGGTGGGGCACCAAAGGGCGCCTCTCGCAGGGGCATAGGTGGGGGATCAGACCCATCTGTCTTGCCACCATGCAATGCTCTATCTGCTGCTGCTGCAATCGGAAAGCTTGGGGGTCCGTCTTCAACGAACAATTCCGGTTCAGGAACATCGTGAACGGAAATGGAACCATCTTTGCGGAAGGCTTCATAGTCCATGACTTTGACCACATTACGGTACCGCAACCCCGGATCGATCCTCCAACCCAAAAAGAGCGCTGGCGCCATGTTCGGATCGAGAGTACGCTTGCCAGGAGTCTTGGTTCTGTACCAAACCAATTGCCCGAAACAGCATCTCTTACCTTGAAACTTTTCTTTGGTGAGGGCTTCCCATTGGGTTTTCCCTGGGCTGAAAGGTGCAGGCCTGTCGAACGACATGGAGAGACATGCAAATGGGTAACTAAACGTATGCAACGAATAGGGCAGCCCTGATTGCATGTGGATGCTGCGGCAGCATTCCTTCTCCTCGCGAATGTCGCGCTCCAGAACGGTGTTGTGTGGCCACCTGTTCGGTAAGCTTGTCTCGGGGACGAGACCGACTTCGTGGGCCGCTCCTTCGAGCTCTCCTGCTGCATCCATTTTTACTAGACATGTTGGCGGCGAATCAGTGGCCCGAAGGCCCATGAACTGACGGAAGTTTTTAACATGCGCCTGCGTGTCCCGCCTACTCACAGGGTAAGCAAGTCGTACGCCTGAGAAAACATCACGTACTACATGGTGAGATTTGATTCCACCGAAACCTACTCCGAGATGTTCTTCGCCCATGGCAAGAATCACGGAATCGGTAGCCAACTGTTGAAATGGTGCGGTTGGAACATCGACTTTGTCGTCGGATCTAGTA